GCCTGTAGCGCTCGACACCCCCACTTCCTGGCAACACAACACATACACTCACAAATACCTTTTTTTCCCACCGCTTTTGCAGGAAGAGCATATTTTCTGCCAATCAGTGCTTAATGCTGAGTTCAAGAAAGAGAATGTGTGTGTGTGTGTGTGTGTGTGTGTGTGTGTGTGTGTGTGTGTGTGTGTGTGTGTGTGTGTGTGTGTGTGTGTGTGTGTGTGAATAATTCAGTGTGCCAGGGAAGTACAGCGATGCTGCCTTATTCAGCCAGGAGACAGAAAGTAGGTTAGACTCGGTAACAACTACATCTCTCTTTTTACCTCTCTCTACCTACATCCACCTCTCTAGTGCTCTTTCTGTCTCTCTTGGCATTTTAATTTATTTTTCTCGTCTCTTTCTAATCTTCTTTTTCATTGTCTCTCCATCTGTCTCTCTCTCCCTCTGCCCAGTAACTGCCCTGGCATCCTCGAGTCATTTTAGGCCAAGTCAAGTCATTGTGAAGAAATGTGTCTGAGAGCACACATGACTCGGTCGCACCCTGAAGGGGTCTGTGAAGTCGGCACTGGGCTTTTGGGGGGGGGCAACGCCCTGTGTGTATGTGTGTGTGGCAGTGGAAGTCGAGCGTTCACAGGAAACTGGCCAACTCAGTCATGCTGTTTAACTCCCCTGACTGATAGGAAGTAAGAAACAGAAGGGGATCAAAAGATAGAAATAGTGTGGACGGAACGGGTGCAACATGAAAAAGATTTCGTATTATTTCAGTCGTTTGTACTCGTAATTCTGCGGCCAAATGAGAGATAAAAACACTAGAGTGAGGGGTTATGAATTGACATTAGTGTTACAGATAAAATCCAGTGTAATTCAATAAAACCAGTGTGGGCAGATGACCTGGGCTGACCAAGTGGCAGTATTTTCATGTCATGTCACGGTCAGAAAAGCAGAAACTAGTTGAACTTTTGACAGAAGTGCAATTGAACATCTACTAACAGATGTCCATCAGCTGTTTAAATTTAAGTAATCTGCTTCACACATTCTGCAGATGTGACCACAACAGGGCAGCGTAGGTGGTTTCGGTGCATTTTTAGTCTTTAAATGTGTGAAAACCATAGAAACCCTTTTGAGAGTTTTCTTGTGTTTCAGTCACTTTCCTCTTCCTGTGGAGAGGAGTGTTTCCTGTTAACGTTTTGTATCTGTGCTTTTTGTACATAACCTACTACCTTTATAAAGATACAAATGATAATGGGATAAAAAAAAAACATTTAACTGCACTTGTATTCATGATCAGTTGTTGAGCAAGGTACAAGACTACTACTGGACTGAGAGCAGATGCATGGAGCAGAAGTGTGGAACATTAAAAACATTCACAACATTTATAGATTTCCAGATTTTTAAATGTGAGGATTTGCTGCTTTTTCTCTGTCTTGTTATAACAGTAACTGAAACACTGAAACTGCGGTCCAGACTATTGATCAGACAAAACAAGACATAACTTTGGCTCTGGAAAATCGTGAATGAATCATTTCAGTTCATTGTTATGTTCATAATTTAAGCAGAAATGTAAAACATTCAATAGTTCAAGCTTCGCAAACATGAAGATTTGCTGTATTTGTGTCATATAGTCGTAATTAATTGATTTTAACTGTAATATTATTTAATTGATTGTTAAAAATAGTGAAAAATGCCTTAAGTGATGTGTTTAACTAGCTAATTTCATGATAACCACTTGTTGTCATATTGGAGAAATCTATTAACCGATAACTGTTGTGTAACAAATAATAATTGAATTGAGGAGTACACTTGAGTAGTGATCGAAACAAGGATGTTTATTTTTCTTTGCCCTCTTTCTCTGCACCCCCTCCTCCTCCTCCTCTTCCATTCGGGACAGAAGCTAGCACGAAGCGACAGAGTGTGTAAAGGGAGCGTGTGAATGAACGACAGAAACGAGGAATAAAAGAACCCATTAGCTTAGTTACCGAGAGCCTCTTGAAAGCCTTGGCTCTCCTTCTTTCCTGAGCGTCCCTTTTTTCTCTCCCTCTTTCTTTCTTGTTCACCTCCCCTTTGCTTCCCCCCTTCTTTCTCCAAATCACTCCGTTTCTCCCCTTTATCTAAAACACTGACCCGCATCTCCTCTCCTCCACTTCTTCTTTCCTCTCTTTTTCCTCTCTCCCTTACACTCCACCTCTCTCCTCGGTTTGTTTAGTAAAGATACAGAGCAGCAAGCGAGGACTCTCTCCCTCTGCTTTATTTCTTTTGCATCCTCCAGGCTTATACCCATTATGTGCACACACATGCTTGTGTCTTTTTGTGTGTGTGTGTGTGTGTGTGTGTGTGTGTGTGTGTGTGTTAGTGTGTGTGTGTGTGTGTGTTGTTTTACGTAATAGAGGAAGTAAGAGTAATTAGAAACAGGACCTGTCTGTGGGACAATGGAAAGTTAAGAGAAAAAGGGAGAGACAGACAGTAGCTGGGTCTTCATCCAACTTTTTTTTTTTACGTGATGAGGTATCATATTATCGAAGCTGAAATTTGAATACAATATAGCTTTTGTTTGCGTGTGAGATGTATTGTTATTATCAATAATATCAGCCTGATGAGTGGTTGGATAGGACTATAAATAGGATTCAAAAGTGTCCTGAGATAACCTTTTGTTATGATTTGGTGCTATACAAATAAAATAAAATGTAATTAAAAAAGTGTTCATGTTTTGAACCGCTCTCTGTAATAAGTTTCATAACCACATTTCTACTACACTCTATTACACTGTAAATCAGACGTGTCTTGACCTCTTTTAAGTTTCTGGAAACACACACCCAGTCCACATTTAATTAGTGAATGCTTAAGATGTTTGCGTACAACTGGCTTGGATGGAAATGTTATTTAGTTAGAAAATAGTTTGACAACCTCTGGACTTTGCTGTAACCACAGGGTTGCACTGACACATTCATTGAAACAAATAATAACTGATTCCATATTAATTTCACACTGTAAGTGTGTGAACTGAGACAGGGAGGGGTTGAAACATCTCAGAGCTAGGTATTGAAGTTATTACTTTCTAATGTCTTGCCATTTGACCTCGTAATTACACAAGCGTGCCCTTGTAAAACCAATGAAATCTTATATAGATTAAAACTAGCAATGCAGGCAAAACCAAATCATTGATTAGGTGCTGCAGAAAGTCACAATTCCTAGGCTTTAATTGGAGAATCGACTTGTACTTCCCCAGTTTGCTGTAAATGAAGTGAAATGGGCTACAAAGGGAAAATACTTATCATCATTACAGCGTTAGAGGGCACAATTGTGTGCATGTTTGTCTCCACATAATGTGTTTTGTGGGTTGGGGGGAATCACAAACCATCACAAATCACTATTGCCGGCCTTCTCTGCTCATTGTGTATCTAAGTGTGTGTGTGTTTGTGTGTGTGTCTGCCCGGGCTCTGGCCCAGCACAGAAGCAGACCTCTGTTGGAAATGTAATTCACATGAGGCCAGAGGAGCCCTAATGCTATTACCACACACACACACACAGCTGTGTTGCCGCCCACACTCTCTGTGTGTACCTCCTTTTTCTCTCCCTTGTTTCCTCTCCCTCGGTTTTTGATGGTCTGTCGTTGTGGTTTACAAAGATGCGTGATGCAAAATGAGGAGCTGGGCAGAAGTCGAAAAACTCATTATGTCTTTAGGGTGCCTCTGTGCCGATAGCCGAAACTGTTTGTGTGTGTGTCAGTAGTGTATTACAGCAGTCACCTTATCCGTCTATTAAACCACTGAAGGCCTAAAAAGACAACTTTCAGTCGTTGTAAATGTCTCTGCAGAGGTGTGGAAGTGATGTTATGACAAAAGCGAAAAAGAGAAACAGGGACAGGAAGAAAAGGGTTGAGGTTTGAGAGTCTCAGGAAATCAGGATGTACAGTATCTGTCGCTGTCACAGTAACACGAGGAAAGCCTGCCCTGCAGCCAGTGCCAGAGAGAAGAGGTGGGACCATTTTTCACACGAGGCTCCAGCAGCCCGAACGCCCACGCTGACTTTCTCAGAGTCAGTGTGAGATAGATAGAGAGAGAAAGGGGGAATGAGCAAGGCAGAAAAAGAGTAGTGATGCCTAATTTCCTCAATGTCTCCTAAAGCTAGAGGAAAATGTCTGAACCAACTGAGGGAATAAAGAAAATAGGCCCTCGAGAGCGATATTGTGTGAATGCTATCAGAGTCGTGCAGCAGGAGTTTTTTTTATTCTACAAAAGTCTTGCTGTTCTTTTGAAGTTTTTTTCAAAAGTTTCACTGTGACACTCGAGGCCACAGAGAAGTCGTGAATGATGTTGCACAATAAAATTCACTGGAAGTTTCAGAAAGTCCCCCAATTTGTAGTTGAGTTCCTGCCCTCAGACCAGTCATTGTCTTAATGTGTAACGTCTTTATGAAGAATTAGAGAGAGGGCGGCTGGAGGTGGTAAAGGTAACATTTAGCAGTGTAGATGGTGTTTGATGACCAAAACATTTCAGTTGTATCACCTCTGAAACTTCTTTTCTAGGTCACAGTTTCTGAGGGCCGCTAGCTGAGCTTTAGCCTGCTATCTAAGAGACCATTGTAATTGTTCTTTTCCCATTAACTGAATGTGTCTTCATCAGTGTCAGCTACTATTAGATCTGGCCACTCTTAACATAATGCACTATCACGCAAAAAGGAACTGGAGTATGTGTGGGGGGTGCTGTGGTATTAGTAGCTCTTTGAATGTTGAAGGATTGTGTGTGTGTGTGTGTGTGTGTGTGTGTGTGTGTGTGTGTGTGGTCTGTGTGTGTGTGTGTGTCTGTGTGTGTCTGTGTGTGTGTCAGAAGAGTTTAACCTGTGTATGTGTATCTGAGTAAAAAAAAAGCTTAATTTTTATATTTTCTCTGTCCTGTAAGCTATCAAAGAGAAGTACTCCTATGTTGCTTTTCCTCTGTTTGTGGGCTCATTTATACTTACAAACATCATTAACATGAACCTTTTCTCTTGTCGTGTTTGTTTATTCCAGCGGTTACGGCGGTTATCGACTAAGTACCGGACGGAGAAGATCTACCCCACCAACGTAGGAGAGAGGGAAGAAAATGTCAAGAAGAACAGATATAAGGATATACTGCCGTGTAAGTCCCGGCACACCAACAAATGCCATATTACTGCACAGATGAATGCTCTTTCTTCCGTCTCGTAGCATGAATATTAGTCCCATTACATTTAGGTGTGCTAGCAGGCTCCACTTGTATGACGTACTTGCATTAATGATATTAGTTACAGGGAGATAGGGATGTAATGTCTATTTAGTGATGGTGATAACATGTTGGAAATATCATGGCCGACTCTTTCAGCTCACTTCTACTTTCTGTTACTGTCGTGTTTAACTGTCACATACCTTGTAATGTACCAGCGTTATTCTCCAACAACAAACCTTGGACAAAATGAGATCGAATTTAGATTTAAAACCAATGTTGTCGAGCAACAACGTGGCCCTCAGTGACTATCTGCTTTACAGTGCTTTAATTCGACTGAGGTTTATATGCAATTTTAATGCGAATGCAGTGCCTGACAATATAATCTGTATGAAAGCTTGTGTCCTGCATGACAGCAGCATTAAAACATCTTATATGTATGTCCTTAGATTTAAAGATAAGTCACTTTGTGTGCCAGAAAAAAACACACATTCAATCAAAGTTGAAAAATATTGTCAAAAAATTACCTTTTTAACCACAGCTACCAATGGTTACTTGTAGGGAAAATTTCTATATGGTTAGTATGGTTAAATAGCGGAAAACTGTAAAATTGGAGGAAAGGGGGGGTTGTCGGGTAGGGACAGACAGATGGAGAATGATAGGAAGTATGCACACACACACACATACATTTAGAACAAATACAAATATCCAGTGTGTCGTAATAGGTCATGTAATGGTCTCTGTCTTATGTACACACAGAGCTCTCGCTGTACTTAATGACCTCAGGCGACGCTTCCATGACCCAACATCTGTCCTACTTTTTTTTTTACACCTTTATCCTTTTTCTCCATCCATTCATCCATCCATCCATCCATTTATTCATTAAGGCTTTTAGTGAATGAGCTTCTGATAAGGCAAAGGAAGAACCGGTTCATCCGTAACAGATGTGTACTCACACATACACATACTTAGGAATGAGGATATAGCCATGTGTCCATTAACCTCTTTACATCCACTTTCTCTCTAGTTTTTCCTCGTTTGGCCTCTCTTTGTCTCTCACTATATCCCATTCAATCAATTTTTCTGTCTATCAGTCCATGCTTTCTGTTGCTCTTATTCTGTTCAAATGTATCAGAGTAAATATTTTGCTTTCTTTTCTCCCCAGTTGATCACAGCAGGGTAAAGCTGACATTAAAAACGACCAATCAAGACACAGATTACGTCAATGCTAACTTCATCAAGGTAAAAAATCAGCGGAAAGATTATAGTGTTAGGAAAAAGTCCTATATGTGCCTTCACAGAATATATGTAATTCTATATATTTTCTGTGTGGATTTGTGATCTTGCCTTTTCTTTCTTTTTCCCCGTATCTCCTGTCAGGGTATAGATGGCCCAGAGGCCTACATTGCAACTCAGGGCCCACTGCCGAACACTGTCATCGACTTCTGGAGGATGAACTGGGAGTACAATGTAGCTGTGAGTATGGCTCATTGGATGGCAGGAGAGATGGAGTCCCACTATGTCGATTTGGATGGCTACAGAATAGGAACAGAAAGCTGTTACTTAGTGAATTTTTTTTTTATGAAAGTGGGTGTAATAATTAAAGTAATTAAAATAAATATTTAATACGGTTGTCAGGAATTAAGAGGCAGATGGGGAGTGCTTATGCTTGAACCAGATGGACACATATGAAGGGGAGGGAGAGAGGGAGCTGCAATTAGGTTTAACTAGCACTCTGAGAAGCTTGAGATTGCAGCTTTGATAATTAGTCCTGTAGGATCAAAGAGAATGATGCGAGGTATTGATGTAACAGTGAAACGTATGATGAAAAATGATCCGAGGTCTAACCACTCCCAATTAGTTTTTTCGTAACTCTGCTGGGTACTCTTCTGGATCTCATTTTGGCAACTACAGCGTTACATAAATAGCACATATAGGAACGGAATATATACTTAGATTTAGCCGTGAGAGGCTGAGTGTAAATATTGATTGTAATCCTTCCTGTTTGTGTCTCTGCAGGTTATTGTAATGGCTTGTCGAGAGTTTGAGATGGGAAGGGTAAGGCTGTGATAGTTAATCCCCCCTCCCGGTGTATGTCTGTGTGTTCCTGTCAGTGCATGCATGCAAGTGTTCATATGTGTATTTCCATGGGTCCGTACACACATCTGTGTTTTATTATCCGTACCAAGGTTACAGGTTTGTCTGGTAGAATATCTAAAAATGTTTTGCTTCACGTAAATGAGTGGAAGTAAAATTATTTATTTATTTATAGACACACATTTAGAGGGTTGTCTAGCCTTGGTGGAGGTTTTTCTAGTATTTTCTGTATTCTTCTTGTCCATCTAAGTGTGCTTGCATATTTGTGTCTGCTGACTGCTTTTGGCGACCTCTCAGTCTTTTCACAAAGCCTTGAGTCAATTGCAACTGAAGTAACAATTAAGTGTGACTGATAGATAACTTCTGTATGCATCTATAAATGTGTGTTTTTCACATGTAGGTGTATAAAGTATATAGTATGCATGAATTTAGTCTTTCTTTTTCTGTAAATGTCATTCTCAATGTTCCACACGTCACGTTAATTGCTTATTTCAAGCCAGAAAGTGTGTGTGCACAGGAAGCTGTGGTATTTGTCTGGTATTCTGTTCTCAGCCAACGCTAACTCCTGTTCTTCTCTGTTTAGAAAAAGTGTGAGCGGTACTTCCCTCTGCACGGGGAGGAGCCCGTGAGTTTTGGCCCTTTCAGAATCTCATGTGTAAGTAGACAAATCTCTAATATCACAGCTGTTTGTGTGTAGAGTGTGTGTGTGTAAGGTGGGGGTGGTGGTTTTGTTTTTTCGGTCTCCTGCATTTCTCACATTTTGTTCTAATGACCATTTTAGTCAAGGATTGTGTAAATGTTCTCCCTGTGTCTGTTTTCTAGGAATCAGAGCAGGCCAGAACAGACTACTATATCAGGACTTTGACGGTGGAGTATGAGAATGTAAGTTCTCTGAATTATTGCTCAGTCATTTTCTTCAAGCTGATGTATCTCACACAATGGCAGATGTATGCAGAATCACATAAAAATAATCAAATAGATGTCCAAAGTACAAAACATTTTAGTTGTTACTATTCACATATGTAAAACAATAGCAAAAAGGAGCTCAAAGTCATTGATTTAAGCAACAGAGTTTTGTAAAACCACACAGATTATGTTTATATCATCACTGTGCAACTCCACTGAAATTCCAAATCATAATATTAAAATATCGCCCACACGTTCACTTCACTTTCTCCTCTTGGCCTGCTGATTCAATGTGCCGACCTTCCATAGACCTGCAACCCTTTTTAAAATGATTCCCCCGTATGTCTCCCTGCAGGAAACTCGGAGGATAACACAGTTCCATTATATGAACTGGCCTGATCACGACGTCCCCTCGTCGTTTGACTCCATACTGGATATGATCGGACTAATGAGAGAATACCAAGAGAATGATGACGTCCCTATATGTATACACTGCAGGTAGGTGCAGTATAAACATACCAACGCAAGTTTACCCGTGTATGCCCATACTGTAGCTAAGGCAACATGTAGAAAAGCAGACTGATTGCAGATGAAAAGATCAAGTAATGGCATGATATACAGTGTATGTGTAAATGGATTATCAAATTGAAATGAATGATTTGTGAGATTGCCAGTGGTTTTATGCAAGGAGGCAGTAAGAATGTGCAACAGGTGGTCGGCATGGGTTTCTGTGTTTTGAAATCAAGTTTCAACACAGCAGAGAAATGTTGCAGTAGTGTCTAAACCCAAGATACAAATACACATCTACTCCTAGCAAAAGTTAGGTTTTAAATTCAGCTTCTATATACTCAAATTGTTTTATTTCACATTTCATTGTTTCACTTGACCAGTCTTGTTGAAAATCTTACTCAAATTGCTGCTGCTCAGTACAGAAATCTGACAATAACAGGCTGAAACAGAACAGCTGTAATACATCTAGAGCTATTCAAGACTGTTATATATATATATTAGTGGTATGTCATCATAGGGCAATCATGAAATAGCCCATATTATTGCAGCTATAGTGATTAGATAAGATTGCTGTGGGCAGAGAATTGAAGTGTTATTTCTCTCAGAGATGACTGCACCATTTCCTCCAATGAAGAACTTAGAACGATGAAGAAGTTAACAAGAAAACAAACAACACTGATTCATGAGGCTGTGTATTCGGATCCTCTGCTGCACACATGCAAGGGTATACGAGCAGTGTTTCTCCACACACACACACACACACACACACACACACACACACACACACACACACACACTGTGTGTAATCAGGTATAATGAGCAGCCTGGGGACATTTCCTGGTTCCTCTGTTACACAGCAGGACTTAAAGCTGTGTCTCTGCATCTGTAAAGATGCCTTGTGTGGGTTGATGTGCACTCTACTGTATGTGTGTGGAGAAACGCTGCTTGTTAGAGTAGCAGAGGCTCCCTGACAGCATGAGATAAAGTTTTATGATTTGATGTGTCAGACATGATGCACCATAATCTCAGTGTTTGTGTAGCTCCTGACTCCATCCTGTCTGGGTGAAGTGTTGTTGTATATAGGATTGAGTGTTTGTCCACTCACAAATAGAAATCCAGAGTTGATATTTGTGAGGAGTGTGTGTGTTTTTTTTAAATTTATGTTTGTGATGAAGACGTGCCTGTCTGTGTCTTTATGCGTGTGCTTCTGTTGAACCTTATCTGTATGACTGACTGTACAGTGCAGGCTGTGGGAGGACGGGTGCTATCTGTGCTATTGACTACACGTGGAACCTCCTCAAAGCCGGGGTATGTGAACACACACACACCCCCACACATACCTAAAACATACCTGTAAAATGACACACTTTTTACACCGTAATTGTAAAGACACAAGTGAGAACTAACTCCTTTGTTGTGTTGTATTCTTTCAAAGAAAATACCAGAAGATTTTAATGTTTTTCGGTTGATCCAAGAGATGAGGACGCAACGACACTCTGCTGTTCAGACCAAGGTTTGTTTTTAGTTTTAATTTAGTTTTGTTCTTTTCTTTCACACACAGATACTGGCGCTCTGAGGTATGTTTAGGCTAAATGAAATGCAACATTTAATACAAAGTTGTTAGAGAAATATGAAGAAGGTGATAGAAATGCTAATTAGTAGCTGGATGCTAACACACATAGCTACCTTTTTCATGCCTTCACACAAAGAACCTGGGAGATGAGGTCAACATAGTGTGATATTTGTCTGGTTGTCAGTTAAATAGATTTCCAACAGCTGTAAGTATTTCAACTGGTTGTTTGAAAATGGTAAAAAAGTTCCTTCCCCCAGAGGTTGCAAGTCTGGTTTTGGAAATGAAGTAAGTACGTTTAAGCAATGCTAAACCTTTAAGGACATTGCATAGACTGCATGAAAAACATTTCACAACTAGCTGCATCATGCAAAACATATTATCTAATATTTCAGTCAGCTTTTAACAATATTCTGAATTTATTTAACTCAGCTGTTAAATGTAGTGACACATTATATTTAGTTAATGTCAGGGTGCTATGGTTTCTTTGTTCTGGATCAAAAGTGATGTGTTGTATTTTATTTCTGGTCCTGTTCACACTTTCTTTTTACAAAGAGGAATAAACATAAAGACATACAGACTGACCGTGATTGGACACTTTTGGCTATTTGCGTAATCAGTGTTATGTGGACCCACGTGGGGAAGTCAAATTCTGTTTACTGACAGTAAGTCATGCAGCACTTCAGTGCTTTTATTTTTTCATGTTCTCGGGTGTCACAAAGAGCCCACTAGCAAATAACTGATTGGGACGGGATGAGAAAGAGGTGTCTTGTGCAGCAATGCTATGGCGGGGGATTACTGTGGGATCAGTATGTCACTTTTTAAGGACCGCCAAAGTACATTACATTAATTTAGCTGACACTTTTATCCAATGCAACTTCAAATGAGTGCATTCAACCATATGGATACAACCCAAACATTGCAAGATGTGGGGATACAAGCACAACAGACCGCAAGTTTAACACCTTTTGGTCGTCTGATTCATCGTGGAAAATCCCTGCACTCATATGCTGACATGCTGCATAACATTGTTACTAAATGATTTACATTGACGTACCGTTGAATAGAAGTTGCCTTGAAAAAGTCCTTAAGTAAGCTTTTAAGACTTAAGTTATTCAGTTATAGCAGCTTGTCAAGCTTTTTCATTCCTGCGTTTGTTGCTGCACACCTGGTTGAAAGTTGATCTATGCCTGAAAGGTTGACACTTTCCCGCCATTAATTGTAACAGGTTGAGGTTGTTTTGCCACAATCTTGACTCGGGTGTGTTTGCATGTTTCTTGCTGCAGTGAGACGATGATTCTCAGCTGGATTTAACTTTCATTTTCTCCTCATATTTGTATCTTTAAGTGGCAAACATTCAAAATAATGAGTGTCTCGACTTAACAAGGCATCCGTTGCCATTTTGTACCTTATTTATGGTCTTCCCACCCACGCAGAAGTCCTGACATTGAGAGGGGAAATGAGGACTGTTAGATAAATTATAGAATTTAATTTGCAACATGACACAAGTTGAATTCAGTGTCTCCGACCAGAGTTCTGGTGAAGCCACTGACTGTAATATAATTTCTGAAAATGTGGTGTAACACACTTACCTTACTAGGAACGTAATGAGATGAAATCAGTGTGCATCATCGGAGGTTGTATTTCATAGCCTTGTAAATGGATGTTTTTGAGTATAGACACTAGAATGTTTTTGCCGTATTGATTTACTGAAACCCTTTCTTGGTTTTCCCTCTGTCTTTCTTTGTCTTTCTCTCTCCAGGAGCAGTACGAGTTAGTTCACAGAGCGATCGCTCAGCTCTTTGAGAAACAACTGCATCTACTGGAGAGCCCCACCAACACGCAGATACACGATGGCATGGTATGACACACATATTGTGTATGCCGTCTGGTGTTAAAGAAAGACAGGATGTCGCTGAGTAACACACTCAAAGTGGGAAAAAAAAACACAAATAATTAGTCACAGGGGAGGGAGAGGGTAGGAGGAATAGAGGAGAGGAGAAGAGAGGCCTTCAGAAAACTTTGCTCTTTACACAGACAGTTACAGAGTTAGTGCCAAAAAGGGAGAGCGATCTCTCCTCTACAGGGTAGTCTCAGAGGACTGCATACAGTTAGACCTATTTAAAAGAGCTCGAAAAAAAAAGCTCTGCTCTGTCAGTCACCACTGCCCTCATTCTAGTTTACACCACACTGTCCTCCATTGCCCCCAAACACGCACCAACAAACACACATACAATGCAAAGTGTCCTTAATGGTCCCCGTTCCTCCTCCCGCTGCATAGAAGTGTAGTGAAACCAACAAATAGAATGACAAAAATAAAATATTTAAATAAAATCAAAGGAGGGGTAAAAAAATAAGAGGCTTATCTTAATTATAAGCTTCCTTGGGATAATAAATTGAATGATTACGTCTTTTAATATCCAATCTGGTGTTGGAACATTGCAAGTGAAACACAGTTGATCACTGATCGATAGCTCCCATCCATCATCCCTCATCATTATGCAGCAGTCTTGGGCAAGTTGTAACCTACACTGTACATTTACTGCCAGATCAACAACTTCACTGCTCTCCTTTCGCACTGCTCACATTCACTGCTCACTTTCTTTCACTCATCAACACACAAACTGTGCTCACAAAAGAGAGCTGCCACGCTAATAACAGAGGATATGAAGAGGGATAGTGTTCTTGATACATCTTCACTTCGTCAGTTGACCCTGGTGGGGTTTTACGGGCTGACATTATTGAGTGGGGGGGGGAAAATGCAGTTACTATTGACGGTAGCTTAGCTATTTAAAAATGTGGGGTTTGTGCAGCAACAGTCGTGTGTTGTGTGAGCAGTCAGTGGTCTGCAGTGTTTTTACGTCACCTTTTAGTATCAGCTCAGCTTGCTTGGAGCCTCGACAGAGGTGGTACCAAACAAAGTAGCAGGTACTCTCCATAATGGAGATCCCAAAAAGAGCGAGTAGATTTGAGCCGTTCCATCTGGTGGAAAAGAAGCTTTAGTGAAAAAAGAAATAGCTCTCCACTCGAAAGGTTACATGATTTTAAAAGTAGCCACTCTTACCCCACTCTTACTGGAAAATGTAGTTAAACTAGTTTACTCCCCAACGCTGGTATAGAGAGATGTGAAGATAAAAGCCAGAAAGCCAGAGGAAAGACGCATCAATGAAACAGTGTGCAACACTGACGAACCTAAAGACACAGAGGACACAGACAGACGATGAGCGAGTGCATTGGCAGCAATCCAGGAGTTGACTTCCTGCTTAGGAAGCTCTGATGACATCACCCCTCTCCCATAATGCACTTTGAGTCTGAGAATAGACATCCGTTGGGAAAGGGAGACCCTTGCAAGAGACAGTCACACGAACACACGCAACCATGTTTACATCAGAAAAGACTCACAAACACTTTCTAAACTGTCACCTAAAATCCTAAAATACCTTTCAGTATGTTTAGAATAGGGAAAAAACAGTCTGCTGTACTACACTTTCAGATAGTCTGTGCTGTTAATCATTTGTTAAGCATAGGTGTGGCATATATGGAGGAAGACAACAAGTCCAGCACAAGTTTGTTGCTAGTGATTATAACAATGTCATTATCTTACAGAGATACAGGTCCAAAAGCACACACACACACACACACACACACACACACGCACACGCACACACACACACACACACACACACACACACGCTGTCAGCAAAACATTATCATACGTGCTGTACTGACTCAGTCCATACACACATTGACTCATGTCCAGTCAGCCATTGTCAGTGACTAAAACACCCACATAGGTGCTCTCAATGGCAGTACGAACAATAAGCCTACACATGCACACATCCCACACACGTTTTTCTGCTCGCACGCAGGCGCCATTGTTTGCAGGAAGTTTTCCTACCAAATTGATTCTCACAACGCACACGGACACACACATACAGCCAAATGAGACGCAATTGGACCCTCCGTCTTCACTTTATATCCACTGAACGGGCTCGTACAGGGCTGAAGTGGCCTGATTTGCCCCTCTGTCTTTGAGTTTATGACGACTGAAGTTGTCCCGTCATCTTCTCATTATCAGAGTAGAGACGGAGTCAAATTAATGAGTCACGGGGGAAGAGAGGGGAGGAGGAGGAAGACGAGAGCTGGGTGGAAGAAAGCGAGCGTTAGTCGGGAGGAGGAGAGCTTCTTTCAGAAACAATTTTGATCCTTCAGTGAAGCAATTTTGTAGCAACTTTCTTCCTCTGATATAGAAACACGTAGGAGAGGAGAAAGAGTTAGTAGAGAGTAGATAGAGAGAGCGGAGCTTCACATTTCAACAGCAATTATAAAAACTGCAGTTCCCGCTGAAATTAGCTTTTGGGTAATGCAGTCTCAACAAAACAATCAAGCTATTTCAAAAGCAAGACTGAATGTCTCTATAGTGAAGTCCATATAGATGATTTGACAATTATCAAGTTAATTTCAGCTAGCAAGACAAAGTGTGTCTCCCTGCATATTACACCCTGTCTTGCACACATACACAGAAACGCATAAAGGTTCTATAGGGATACTTTTTTTTTGCCTGATACAGATAACAAATAATTTAACTGGTTTGCATGACCGATAAGATAGCTTTGAGTTCACATTTTTGTCCATAATTTGTAGGTTACACTGAGAGTTAGAGGCTAAGATTGAGTGAGCAAGTATGGATGATTTAATAATAATTATGATATTCTAAACATATCTAACTGATATATTGTTTACACAACCAAAACAAAAACAGTTCAGACTATTTTCTAGTAAAGTACATCACAAACATACTTTGGCTTTCATAGAACATAAAGCTTGTAAAACATTTTGCAAGTTCGATTATTATTCTCAACAGATAATTTATCAGGCTGCAATACATATTGTGCATCCCTAGTTTGTAGGTCAGCAGTACGTGCAAAACAAAATCACATTTTGAATGCTGTCAGGCTGGAAATACCAGGACACTCACCGCAGCTCAGGTGTGTTCGTTGAAGACGTCAAAGCTCGATGGATGTTTTTGAGGCAGACTCCTCAAGCTCCTTAAAACAAAAAGTAAACACAGCATTCCTGAAACTATGGGAGTGAAATGTAGTAATGTGGTCTGAGCAGTAAGTTATTAGGGAGCCACAAGTTTGTGTTAAAACGGGAATCATTTTAGTTGGCAATTTGGTGCACACTTCAGTATAGACAGATTTTGCCCATGAAACACACAGTTTCCAAACTACCACAAACATATAAACAATATGCAATTCATTTTTTATGTAGTGGCAAAGCTGAGCAGTGTTTGCGTATGAAAACCTGTGTTAAACACTAAACTCAAAAGTGTGTGTGTATATTTTTGTCTTTGTAAATTGTCCAGGATGAAAGCAGTCCAGATAAAGCAGGCCACCAGTCAGATGATGAAAGATGGGACACACCACCTCCAAAACCTCCCCGCGTACGCAGGTAAGACAAATTTTATGTTTGGGAAGGTTTGACCACCATTATATACTATACTACTCAACTGTTCAAGGCAGTTCTCCCTCGCTTTTCTTAAAGTTCACAAAGAACGTATGCAAAAGGGATTTAGCAGAAGAATAGAATAACCTGCGCTCATCCTCCACACGGATGAATGAACAGGCTCACAACAGAAGTGAGCAGTAGGTGTGAAGTGGCCCGTCAGTGAACACAGTGGGTGTTGTGTTTTGTGGGAGGAACGCAAAAAGAATCACAGCACAACAGTTTGTATGAAGCACACAATGAAAACATATTAAACTGACCAAACAGAAGCAGCAGGCATCTTTTTCACCTCAAACGAACCAGCGCTTTCTGACACATCGCCCGTCGGCCCACAGATGCACCCGGCCTCCACTTTACTGAAGTTAACAAACTGTTGTGGCCTGAGGAGGAGCTGTATTTATAGATCCTTTTTGCAACACTTACCAATACTCTGCAACAATACATAGTGTTGCATGTGCCACAACCCAAGGCCAGTTGAATTAGAGCGGCTGTATCTTCTGTCTGTTTTAGAACAAATACATGCTTCTTTTCTTTTTACACTTGCAGGCATATGGTTTCAAACACACTGTATCTGTCATATGCATAAATACACATAGATACCCCCCCTCTCTCATCTTACTTCGGCAAATTTCCATTCTGTGCTCATCCTCTGTTCTTGTTTCTCTTCCTCTCTCTGCTTCCTTCCCTCCCTCTCGTTTTTAATTTTGCTATATGTACCCAGCAGGGGTTGTGCTCCACTTTCTCTTAGCCAGTTCATCTTCAGTGCCTGTGCCCCTCTTCTTCACAGAAAGGCTGTTAGTGCAGGAATACATACAACTTTTTAAACAAGCCAACAAGATAAGAGTCTCTAAGAGTTGCCTCCGTACTGTTGCTTTAAAGTCACAGAGGACGTCTTGTTGCCAGGAGACTGTTTCACTTAATTACCTGTTGCTAGAAGCATTGTCTAAAAATGTCCAGTTTGACAGCTTTTGTTTGTGTCCATGTGTGAATCATTTGATCTCTGCTCCTCCGTGAGATTGAATTTATATATTTCCATTCTTTACTCTGGAGCAATCTTCATTTTAATTTGATGCCCAATTCTGCACCATTGTAACACCAGAAAAAATAATTTATCTGAGCCAACGTGACCTTAGTTTTGTTTCTCTTTCTGCTAAAATTATCATGCTCTTGGTGTGTTTAACTTGTCCACTGCACCGGTCTGTTGGATGGGAAAACAAACATTTTTTCAGAGGTCCTAATTTTGGGACGTAGCTGCAAAAGATCTGTTCACTGAAAAGTTTCTTTCCTCCTCTCGGTGAAACTTCCAAAAATTGAACTGTTGCCAGAATAGGAAGCTTTCCTTGAAGTGTGTTAGAGCCTGACCTTTAGGAATATGGCTTTTTACCTCTGCTTGACTCTTAAATCTCACGCTTTGTCTCAGTGTCTGTCTTTTTCTGGCTGTGTCATCCCTCAGTTTCCTAATGAAAAAAATGTCAAGGCCTAGTTTAAGCCTGAGAGTATTCTAGCCATGGTAAGAGCTATTTTTACCAACATAGTTCACATTCTGCCGGCCACACTCCCCTTGGGTCACTTCAGTAGTCTAAGAGTGTGTGTGTGTGTGTGTGTGTGTGTGTGTGGGTGTGTGGGTGTGTGGGTGGGTGGGTGGGTGGGTGGGGGGAATTTTTGTCGTATGTGTGTGTGTTAGACAAAGAAACATACTGCAGGAACTCCAATAAGGCTGGCCTCAAGGTCACAGATACTGAATCATGGCTTTTACATACATACACATACATTCACTGCCACGCCCTGAAGACTCGTATCCTGTCGACTACCAAAAGTTAGCATTGACCCGTTTCTCAGATTCTTAGTCCTTTTGTTCTTATTTGTTGATCCAGTTTTTCCTTTTTTAAATAATAATTTTAGACAGTATTTAATGTTGGCAAAGTTTTTTGTACAGCTGCAGTCACCGAGGTTTGACCTATTTTGCTAAATATAAAATGTTTTTTTCTATAGAAAAATATGGATATTACATAAAATAAGGGTTTAAACAATATAGTTTTGTTATACAGAAAATGAGGTGTTTTATTGGCACAAATATGGCAATTTTTGGTTCAGTCAGACCTACCACTACATTCCAGCAGCACACAGACACACAGACAAAACAAAACAAGTGGTTATCAAGAATATCAAGGTCTCTCTTCGGCCACTGCACAATTTTTGGGCAATTTCTTAACCTGCCGCTGCGTTCAATAACACAATCCATACTGTCCCACTGCAGTTGATGTCCTTCGACCTCTGTAAACTAGAAAACATCTTAGACCTAAACCTGTTATTGATGTAAGCTTATTAGGAAGAGTCAACTGTGGTCTAATTGTAGGAGCTGGTACATGTCTCTTGTGGCAACATTGCCGTGTTTGTTAACACCTCAAGTTGTTCATTCTTATCTTTAAAAAATGTGAAATTGATAATCATCTAATACAGCACTCCAGCGCACACACACACTTCAGCGATAGAAATCTGTGTGGTTTGAATGTGTGTGTGTTTCGCTACTTTTCATGGTTGGCTGCATCCTCAGCACAACCTGAAACCAGGAAGTGTCTCTTTAGCTTTATCACCTTCTAGCGTATCCCGCCTCTGTGAACCAGCTCTGATTAAAAATGCAGCTCCTTCCCTCTGGAGTACATATGTGTGGAGGGCACAGCGCGCTTGTTATGTATGTGTATGTGTGTGTGTGTGTGCGTGTGCATTTATGAGTGAGTGTGGGCGGTGTTAGTGCATAAATTTCAAGTTCTTGTGAGGGCACGCATCTGTGTGCATACATGTGTTTGGTTGTGTGTGTGTGTGTGTGTGTGTGTGTGTGGTGTGTGTGTGTGTGTGCATGAGTGGATAATGTTTGTGTGGCCAAAATAAGCTCTTAACTGTTTCGTCAGCTTACCAAAAAGAAATAGTATGGATGGTTGTAGTGTCTTTATGCTTCAAGGCAAAAGTATGGGTAGTTGTGTATGATGCTTTTGAAGCTTGTTTAAGATTTTCAGAATAAAAGCAGATTCTTAAAGATGCTGTGTTTTACACACAGTCGCGTTTTACAAATTCCTGTATAAATCTGATAACAGGGTAACACTTTAGACCTTTATTAGCAGTATATATAAACATTTAATACATGTTTTTAACACACTAGAATATAGTAATAGACAGACAGGTTTACGTGTTTAACAATGTATAGTATTTTCCAACCATTACAACTTCTCCTATAAGGACATTTTTAATATTATTACAACTGTGAATTACTATGTTTACATTTACATTTCACGTTTATTTCCTGTTTGTACAGCACTTCACCCACAGGATTTGTTATAGTTACATAGTATATGTTAAAAAAAAACCTAATGTAGGCTAACAACTGCATTAGAAAGTGTTGATGAAATATCTCTGAGAAGCAAGGATTATAAACATTTGACAGCTCTAAGGAGGATAAGTTGTAGCCACTGATGCACAGATGTAGAAACAAAGATTTTTCATAAATGAGTGAAAGCTAAGCACTTCTGCTACTTCTTCTTTATTCACCTCATAATATTTGAATACGTACTTGCATTCGTAACGGATGTCCTGTGATTTTTGCCTGTAACCTCAATTTCCTTCATTCTCATTGCTCCTGCTTATTTGTTTTTGACTTGTGACTTTATTGGTGTTTGCTCCTGTAATAGCTCTGCTTCCCCCTCAGGGATCATTTAAATTTCATCTTATCTTATCTTAGAGTAACACAGGGCCTGAACAAACTCTGTGGCATCTGAATGATTCATATCCCCATGGAAACTATCAGCACCTGTGGGAATCATCTCTGTTAGTAATAAATATATACATTATGCTTATTCAGGAAATGAAGATGATATAGAAAAAGAAATTCTCCTGGGCAATTTATGTTTTCATTAAAGAAGGACACACACAGTGTTTTTGTTTAAATAATTTTAAACCTGACCGAAACGTGACCCACAAGATGTTGTCAACCAATGGCAGCTAGCTAGAGATGCTGAGGCTTTATGTGTAAGACTTTCACAGAACGACTGCAACTCCAGAGTTGATTTAAAAAAAAAAAAGGAAATCCCCCATTACTTCTAGCTCGCAACTTGTCTCCATGTCCTCCGACACACACAGCATCATGTGCAGTCCTATGTTAGTTCTTGCTTCAGTCAACCACCACATCCTTTCGCTGTTTTTTTCTATGTGTGTGTGTGTGTGTATAGATTTATTTGCATGCATATGTAAATGTATATTCTGTGGAGTGAAACAATGTCTTAATGTTTAACTTTCCATCGCTGTGTGGCTAGCGTGGTCCCAACCTCAGCATCCTGTGTATATAATGCACCTACATACACTGCATTTATCTATAGCTGTGTTTATAAGTGTGGGAGACTTTAGTTGGACACTTTTAAGTCAGTCACATATGCAAAAAGCACATGCATGCATATATATATATAACCATACACCTGTAGATTCCGTATAAGTTGGATGACTGTAGTTAGTATTTAGGGAAGGTTAAAGATGGGGTCAGACATTCTCGAGAAAGATGGTTGACTACAACCTAAAGTGTTGGTATTTTTTACAACCTGGGAATGAGACTTAACAATTAATTGTCTTTCTTCAGAATGACTGACCCTAACTTTAAGGGAGGTTGAAGACTGTTGAGAAAAGATTAATTTTGAGTTTACTTCTGAATGAGTTGTCTGAGCTAGGCTCTCAAATTTGGGCAGGAAGACAATTCTTAAGAAGAGGGGTTGGCCCTACCACCTACTGATGATTAGTCAGAAGACTAGCCTTTTGCAATCATAGAGCCCTCCAGGTATATAGAGTGACTAAAGATATTAAGTAGGATTGTGTATGTCTGTGTAATATTTTCTAAGTTAAAAGTGGAATCTTGGAAGTCAGATCTAGTGTGTACAGGGAATGTGATGTGATAAGAACAGTTAATAATTAATATTATAATGATTAATAACAATGGTCAAGCTGAGACAAGACAAAAAGCATGAACTAGTGTTTCAGACTTTCATTGACCTTGTAGTAGATGGTTGTGTAGTATGCTTTGGTAGCTGAAAAGATAGATGAAATATGTCCCTTTTTTAAACACTTCCTCTTTCAATTGGACCAACAATACCCCATGTATGTTGCTGCATAGAAAAGAATACAGTATAATAGAAATGCAATGCTTATTAATAGCTCCTTGGGAATTTTGTTTAGATAGAAAGTACAATCAAAGGCCTTAACTCTATTGGTGAATCAGTGTGTTTTTAGTTTGTTTAAATCCTGCCACCTAGTGGTGCAAAACTAAGATTCACAACATGAACAGAAACTCCCTTTTTAGTTTTGTTCAAGTATGAAATAAATTCAATTCATTTCATCACCTTACTTTCATCATTTCTTGTTAGACAGAGAATAATTTAAACGTGGATGTCCAAATGTCTGGAAGTTGTCTGACCAGTATGATGAAATTCTTGCCTTTTCATCATTTTCATTTCCTAAGTGGCCAGAACCACAGTCTTCCAAACGTCTGTTTAAGGCACCTTCAAACTGGCCTCAACAAATAGGTTTGTACCTAAACATTCAGACAACTTTCATCATGATGTAAAAGCCAAATACGTTGGCATGTGAATGAGTGAATTTTCCCTCAGTCCTTATTTCTGTGAATATACAATTCTGGCTCTGAGTTTGGTGTTTTAATTATAGCGTCTCTGTAACATTTTGGGCTCTGTGGGATGGAGATGCCTTATTAAAGAACATCAAAAGTCTGTCTCTCAGTACGTAATATCCATTCACTAAAAAGCTTGTCTGGTTTTGGCTCTTTTTTGCAGTTAACTGAGCTCACTCTCTCTTTCTCTCTCTCTCTCTCTAGTTCCCAGGCAGAAGGTGATGTGAAGGAGGAGATACTCCAGCCCCCAGAGCCTCACCCTGTACCCCCTATTCTGACCCCGTCTCCCCCTTCAGCCTTCCCCACTGTCACCAACGTACGGCAGGACAACGACCGCTACCACCCCAAACCTGTCATACATGTTCTGGCTACCACACAGGCACAGGTGAGGAACTCTAGCTTTAAAAGCATGGTATGTGTTTATTAGTGGGATTTCACTCCAGAAAGCAAATGACTTGCCCTTTTTGTCTCTTAGAATTAAATACTATAATAGATTTAGACATCCCCCCCCTACATGGAAGATTTTGGTTGTTTTCTAGTGTGATGCTGAATGTTCAAAAGGTGCTTAAGTGTCTAATCTTTTCCTTTTCTTTTCCTTTCCAGAATAAAGAAATAGACAAGCAGCAGAACCAGTCAGAACCAAGTCCAAACAAGCAGACGAGTCTCTCAGAGCAGAAAGACCAAGATCTACTAAGTCGAAAGCAGCAGACTCAGGTCTCAAATCTAGATCTCAATGACAACTATAACAACAAATTGTCTTCAACTTCGACAAAATCAGAATCGGGCCAAAGCCAGACTCCCTCGTCGCCCCTCTCCCCAGCTGTTGAATGTTCCGGTGCTCCTCGGATCGAGAGGAAGCTGAGCATTGAGATTAAAAAGGTTCCGTTACAGGAAGGACCTCGTAGTTTTGACACTTCCTCCTCCATGGGGGTAGCGGGCGGAATAGGCAGCAGTTCGGCCAATAGCGCGGGAATGCTGCAAAGAAGCCACGCCTTCAAAACCCGTACCGGCCCATCCCTGCTCACCTCTAGCTCCTCGCTGTCGGAGGACTCGGGCACGGAGGGAGGAGGAGGAGGAGCCGGATGCGGGGAGAGTCACGCAGACGGAAGCGTCCTGGCCAGACCGAACCACCTCCCTGTGAAAAGTGAGAAGGGGGAGACACCGGGAGGGGAGAGGATGGAGGCGAAGGCCGGCCATGCAGCATGGGCTCAACCGTGCAACAGCCCAGAAAAACAGTTCCCAAAAACCTCCTCCTCTTCTTCTTCCTCCGACCGTGTAGCCCCATCCTCGTCCTCCTCCTCCCACCTCTCCTCCTCTACTTCCTCCTCCTCCTCCACTCCTGTTAGGACTGCCCTGAGTTTCACCAACCCCCTGCACTCCGACAACTCGGACGAGGAGGGGGACGGAGAGATGTCCGGAGGAAAGGAGGGTTATCGTCCTAATGCATCCACGGCGATGACCATGGTGACCGCGTCACTTCATGGCGACCAGCAGCCGGTCCGGAAGGTGTCGCCCATGTCGATCGCAGGGCAGAGCTCTCCGTCACCCTCTGCAACCACAACAAGTATGTCAATCAGCTCCTTTTCGTTTAATGAGTGAATCTAATTCTTTGAACTAATTTGCTGCTTTCCTGAAGCAATTAATAATTATAAAGGAACACAGCCAAATAGACATGTGGATTAAATGAATAAACCAGGTTTAGACATCACTTAACTAACTCAACTACACACTGATGGTAATTTCAGCTCATTTCTGAGGAGTCTTCTTAGTAAACAATGGGCTAAAGGCACTAGGTCAGGACAACCTGTCTGTATTATCCACACACACACACACACACACACACACACATATATGCCCTGGGAAACCACACATATAGTCATTTTCTGGGTCAGTAAGGAGACAGGTCTCAGACCACATGCTAATGACACGGTGTATCTGTCACCACACACACACACTCACTGTTACTGCTGGGTTAAGACCGAGGCAGGGAGAGAAAAAACACGGAACAAGGGAGAAACAAAGAAGAAGAAATAACAAACAAACAGAATGAGAGAGACAGAGAAAAACAGAGTGAGATAGTTCCAGTCTCGTATGAAGCATGGCTGTTTGACTAATTGGTTGGTTCGCGAGGAATGCTGCGAATGTTAACAGGCAAACATCTGTCAAAACAACTCTGCTCTTTCTCTTTCAGCTTGTGTGTGTTTGTCTAAGTGAGTGGATTTGCAAACGGGAGGAAGAGCAAAAGAAACAAATCCTGTTTTTGTGTGTTTGTGTTTCAGTGCAGTTGTGTGTGTGTGTGTGTTTGTGTGCAGAGAACTGTGTGTGCATGTTGGATGGTGAAGGATCAACACTGCATGATACTGATAAATACACATTCGCCAACTCTGTGTGCACGTTGGGTTGAACAGAGCAGTGTCACACTTTTTGTTTGTGCATCGGTATGGCCTCACTGTCATGATTGCAACGATGAGATGTGGTTTCAATCTTCTGGGGACTGAGATCAATCCTCCTTCTATGTTGATTTCAAAATCATGAGATTCTGAAATCTGATTCTTGCTGCGATCGGAGCTGAAGGGGAATGTGGAATGGTTCGAACTGGACTTGGGCTTAAAGCCGTTTTGATCTTGAATGGGTTCAAAGCTTCATGAAATAAGACTTAACTGCATTTTTAAATATTTGGATTTAACTGTGAGAGTGCATGATGAGAATCAATCTGCCAGAAAAAGAAGTAGTTTATTGATGCTGTCCACGAGGGATAGAGTAAGTTATGTAGCCCAACACCGATACTGGTGTGAGGTTGATAGGGTTATCTATATTTGAGTGTTAGTTTGGTTTATTTAAGCCATTTCAAATTATACTACTCTTATACACATGTAAATATTATCAGTTAAATCAGATCAAATTATACCGACTGTAACTTAAAAGTTAAGAAAAGTAAACAAACACACATTATACAATTGTCTTGATGTAATGGTGACATTGTTTTTAAATTACATCAAACCTTTGTTTAGCATTTATGTGCATTATCGGTCGACATATACACTAATATCTATTAGTATTAGTATTCTGACAATAAGCAATATCAACCTGCCCTATTTAACCGCCAGGCTCTAATAAAAGAAAACATTTAATTAATGACAGGAAATGATTGCATTAAAATCCTTGATGATTTTTAGTGGTCAGTGACCGCATCTTACCTGACTTCAGTCCCATCTGAGCTGTCCTGTTACTGTAAACACCTAACACGCTGCTGTTAAAATGATGTAAAGGAAATGATCTTAAGCATAATTTGTTAAATGTGTAGAATTAGACACATCCATGTACTATAGAGGAAGTAGCCTGTTTTGAGGCTGTTCTAACGTTAAAGAAAGGAGTTGAAAGTTGTACACCTGTCACTCTATTCTAGTGTTCAACATTTCATCACGTCTTGTTTCAGGGACCAAAGAGAAAGCAGCTTGTTAAATGGTTACATTGAAATGCCGTTGTTATTGTTCCTCATTTATACTGTACTATGGGACACAAACAGCCAGTTATTCTTAGTTAATCAAATCTATTCTAAGTTAAATGCTGTTTTTCACAACAAAGTAACATGTTGCTTTTAAATAATCAAATGAAATTTAAATGTTATGGTAGCCATTCCAATATCTGGCATCATACATCATGCACTCCTGAAGTATTTCCAATATTTAAATGCAGAAATATTTGCCTCACAGCCCTGCCATGGACTGTTTTGTGTTTTGGTCTGCTTGGCTTTCTGGCACATTATTTACTTGGGCTGCGGTAGCGCTTTGTAATCGGTTATGAAACGCTGATGGCTGCTGTTCGATGGGTTGCAAGAATCTTAACAGCTGCTTGTTGATGAGTTGCATTGAGCAAATTGCTGCTTTGTGGTTGGTCATGAGAAGGCTGGTGGCTGCTTGTTTTGCTGGTCGCATTATCTATGAACCAATCAAACTTTATTTATAATACGAACAGTTAAAATGTGGGTAAATTAAATATGCAAAACATTATTAAACATAGCTATGTTATTATAATTCTGGGTTGAATAAAATCCCTCTCATAAGTCTAAATCTATTAAAAATACAATACAAAATAAATACAATGAAATGTTTCTGAAAATGTCAATGAAAAGTATGTTTTGTAATTAGTGTACTCAATAACCAGGATTCAACTAATTTCTCATTTAAACACAACAAAAATAATTTCCTCTGTTGGTTGCAGCAGCCTTAAAAATGAATCTTTTTTTTTTGTTCTGTTATCTTTGTCTTTGATGCTGGAGTTTGTAATTGCATTGTTGACAGCACTTTGGTGAGATCAGGAACATAAATATCATGTTTATTGGCTGTTGCTCTCATCACTCACGGTGACATTAACCTGCTGTACAATCACCTAATTTTTTCCTGAAAATGGTGCAGTGCTAGACTTCATTTAGACTAATGTTACACTAATCTACATTGATTTATGGGCTTTCCTAGGGCAGTCTTAAATGGAGTAGAAAAAACACTCAGCTTCAAATGAGTAATTCCCAATGGTTAAGACTTTAGATGTGGAATTAAAATGGTTTTATAAAAAGGGAGTCGCCATTAGGGGAGAAATTGTTTGGATTTCCAGCAAAATGAGTTAGTAGAGTTCAGTTAAAGCCATTAAATAAGACACAGTGATAGTAAGATAAAGTTATTGATAATATTAAGTACACCTAACCAACACTTATGCACTATGAAGATTATTATGTTCTGTTTTGTTAAAACTCTAAGTGTTTTGGATTTTTGATTTGATGACTGCAGTTTGTTGAATACTGACAGGTGTTTCTATTATATTGTCCACCCAGTTTATATCTGTGAGGGTAGCCTAAATAACAGAAACACCTCTCTGTATAACGCAATACAGTTAAACAGCACCACAAACTACATCCTTCATTACAACCATAGATAGAAATCCTCTGTGTTAGCTAGGTGTACCTAATAATAAATGGGCAGCTAAATGCAGGTATCCTGTATATTTAAATCACCCAGTAAGATACCATCACGGTGCGACTGATGACTGATCAGAACATTAGCCATAAAAGAGGCAATGTTTTAGGGTCAAAATAATGTCTGCCAAGAAGCAAGGCAAGCAATAACGACATTAAACAAAAAAAAAAAAACTCTTCAAAGGCAACTCAGATGAATGGGAGCAAATGTCCCAGTAAGAAAGAGACAGACACACTCATGGTCTTTAATAAAGTCATTAATATAAAATGACTTCTCGGATATTGCCCTTGGATTAAAAAGAGCCACGTTTATTGTAGCTGCACAGTGGATCAAAGGTAGCTCTCTATCGGGGAGAAGCACTAGAAAGTGTCAGTGTTGTGTTGGGCAGAAATAATTGAGTTTGTGTGCTTAACACTAATTAGTCATTTAAGTCGATGCCCTCAGAGATGGATATTGTCAGATACGTTTTAGTTTGAAGAGGATAAGATCTGGATAATGTAAGGAAATGTAATCATGTGACTCAAAATTTCTATTAGAAGTGTTTGAGGAGTGTGTAAAGAAAGCCTGCCCAGTGTGTTCACCGTATGTGAATCACTATTTATAATTACATATACAGATTTCCTCTCACAGCGGTTACATGTCAGATATAGTCCTGAAACTAAGAGAGCTCATCAGCGCTGACACAGTTCTTTTAGTATTCAGTATCTGCAAATACATTTGTGTCTGTTACAGATACTATGAGTGATACTTTCAATTAGATGTGGTTAGGTAATAATAAACATCTTCCACTGTGAAAACACGTATCTGTGGTTCCTCACAGTCATCACGCCTTAACAGTGGCATGTTCTTCTGCCAAGAGTACATAGAGTTATCATGTATATACTGAAGGCTACAGGGTTTTCTAGGCCCCACAAAATTAGTAGTAAAAACATACCGTATAAATAAAAAGATATGCCAACAACTTTGCCATTGCTTCCCTTTCAAAACAAAATATTTCAAAATAGTTGTACAAACACTACAAACTGACATCAAAATAAAGCTTTAATAAAAAGCTTTAATATCAGTTTCAGCTACGCAGTGGATGGAGTTATATGAAAAATTCATATCTCATGGGAAATTAAAACCGATATGTAGGTTCATCCAGTATATTGCCCGGCAGTAGTATGAGTGCATCTTTTAAAATTCAGATTCAAAGGGCTTTATTGGTACAGCCATATTCATTAAGAAGAAAACGTATGTATGTATGTATGTATGTAATATTTAACAAGTCATGAAATTAAATAAAGGGGTTTTAAAACTTAACTGCAGCAGATTTAACTGAACAAATCTGCAGTAGAAAGACAAAATAAACAGAATTTAGTTTTGTGTGTGTGATTTACCAAAGAACACAAAAACAACAAAAGAAGAGTGCACCAAATAATTATAAAAAATAAGACATAAGAACTAGAAATAAAGAAATAAACATATTAAAAATGTATTTTTTTTATTATTAACTGCTAACACACCTTTGAATGACATTTAATAAGCATAAGCACTCAAACCTTGTGTTAGCTAATGCTCTTAATGAGTTGCTTGTTACTTTGGTTTCTGTAGTACAGACAGATCTGTAGAAATGAAGTGGATACATCCTAATATAAAGCTCTGTACAAAATACAGTCTAATATCTGTACATATTGCCTCTCTGTGGTGTTTTAAAGTTGCCTTGCAAGATGACTAAACAGATTTACTCACATTAGAGCTTGTATGTATTAAAGCGACCTTGTAATAATAATAATAATAATAATAATAATAATAATAAAAAATATAGCACAATTTTTAGAGAAGGAATCAATGAAACGCTTGACTTTTTCTCTGCATCGTTTAAATCTGACTGCCGACTGACTCTCTCTGTCTCTCTTCTCGGCCAGTTATTAACGTTGCTTCTCGTTTGACCTCTGACCTCTTTAACCCAGACTGCTGGGACAGCGATGACTCCCCTCCCCCCCTCCCTGCGAGAACCCCTGAGTCCTTCATACTGGCCACAGGTGCGTTTTGCATTGGTCAAGATTCACAGGTGTGTTTTCCAGTGCTGTGGATTCACTGGGTCACCTTTTTCCCGGATGCATCCTCTGGTGTGTTGTTGGTCAAGAAGGTGGATGGATCAGTGAATATGAGTAGTGGGTACCAGTAATGAGCAGTGGTGTGATTGAAACCATCAGTAGCGGGTGCTTGCTACAGTCGGCAGCCTCTGATAGCTGACAAAGGAGGAATGTGATTTTCTATTCCCATACCTTACAGAGTATGAACAGGTAGGGCCTCAGTCTCTTTCATCCTCACTATCAAACAGACAGATGGACTCCCATATTGCAGAGACCAGTCTTTCACAGGGTGGTCTCTGAAATACCTCGGCCATCCTGTTGCCTTCTGCCGTTTTCCTTTTTTTCCCCTGCGTAGTGCTCTGATATTAGAAGAGGGCGTTAGAATAGTCGATCACATTAGAGCACATGAGATGAAGAGGAGTTAAAAAAGGGGAGCACGTTTCTTTTGTGAGAGGCTTTAGCAGTTTAACAACACTAGGTGGCACCATCGGCAGCATTTCAGACCTGCAGTGTCTTAGTAAAGCCCCATCTTTGAAAGAGCCCATGGTCAGTCACAACCTGTCTCAATCCATACTTCATAGGTAAAATTTACAAAATTTTTGAAAAACCGTCAGCATGCAAGCTAAAAACAAAAAACGTCCCCCACGATGCAATGCACACAGAAAATTGACGAGCAGCAGGAAAAAATAACTGTGGATGGTGGTGAAACATCTCAAGAAACACCTCAGAAACTATTAAACTGTCACGTATTGTATAATTTCCTGTGGGTTTGAAACCGTGAAACATGTTGGTTTTCTTGTATACTAGAAATATTGATATATAGTGTGCACAGTATACAGCTAGTGTGTAGTGTGGAATTGGGACACAGCATTAATTTAGTGCTTTTGTGGTGGTTTCGAAATGGACGCATGGAGACAGAGAAACCTGTTAAGGGGACAACGACACAGTAGGAAGTGAGAACAGTGTCTTGACGCTTTAATGTCATTTCTTAACGTGTCTTGATCTGCTGTTTATGATCAAAGAAGCAGCCTAGCTCTCACTTGGGTGCACCGGCTCAATCTAAAGCACATTTTTTTGCACCAAGTGTCCCCACTGTGAGGCTGAAGGCAAAAGGGTGGTTTAAAGGAGGCGACTGAATGAGGAGGAACAAATACTGTGAAGGATAGTGAGTTTTTAAAAGGAAGGTAAAGTGTACGAATGTGTGGGAATGTGATTGGATGTGTGCTTAATGTGCTTAAAGTTTTTGTTAATTTGTCTTTGTTTCTTTCTTAAACTCACTCTCTCTGTTGCTCTCCCCGTTAGACCCTCTGGAAGTGAAAACATCAGCCTCAGCTGAATGGAGCGGCTCACATAAAGGTATGATCACACACACACATCCACTACTAACCGCCTGTTTCTGTTTATATGTGTGCAGAGGAGTCCTTGTGCGTGCATGCGTGCGTGCGCGTGTTTATGCATCTTCACAGTACTTAGTCAGCAGAGCAGAGCAGGAAACAGACCTTCAGTGTTTTACAAATTAGCCTGCACGCGATAAGACTGACAGCATTTGTCAAAAGGGCAGCTGTGAGAGCGAGAGAGCGGGTAATAACGAGAAAGAAAGAGATGCAGGAAGAGAGAGAAAAGGGGGGGAAAGATAAAACATGTCTGTAGAGGTGAAATGAAAAATGTGTGCGTATGCTTATCCGCGCTGAGTGATGATGGTTACTGCCAATTTACTGCTTCAGTAGTTTTGGTGTGTGCGCGTGCGGCAGACACAGAATAATGGAAAGGGAGCAACTGTTTAAACTTGAATTCTGTAAATTTTTTTTTTCTTTACTAGCTGTGAATATAACTCAATAGGAGCATTTATAAAGAACAGAAGGGCTGTGGTTTCATTTAAGTTCCTGCTGATAGCCAGCCTTTAAGTGTCATGAACTATGTACATGCAAGTGAAAGTTTCATGCTGTAAAGAGTCACACATATGAATTTCACACATATGAATGTATTTCTTCCTGTGGGTGTAATGTGGCATTTTGTGCATTTGAGGTTCAGGGCGTCATTCAGTTTAAATTTGGCTATTTGAGGCCTTGAATGATGAATGATGAATGATGAATGATAAATCAGCCAGCTGCCAGAAATGCATCATTTTAACACACAGAGATATCAGACCCCATTATTAAATTACCACAGAGTGGAAAACTTATTTGATGTAGCATTTATTATTTTCAGTACAAACTAAATTGAAGTTAAATGGTAATCATAAAATATAAACAATATGAAGTTGAAATAATTATAATTTTAACAAATGTAGGACCTCCCTCTGTGAAACTAATGCAGTTTAAATAGGTTTTACATCACTAAAGCTATTATACAACACCACTGATATTCACACAATGCTTCCACCCCATTAATCTCTCTCTCTCTCTCTCTCTCTCTCTCTCTCTCTCTCTCTCTCTGTCTGTGTGTGTGTGTGTGTGTGTGTGTGTGTGTGTGTGTGTGTGTGTGTGTGTGTGTGTGTGTGTGTGTGTCTGTGTCTGTGTGTGTGTGTGTGTGTGTGTGTGTGTGTGTGTGTAGATGTGTCAGAGTGTGTTAAGAAGACATCTCCAGCTGACCCTGCATCTGCTGGCACCACAGCAACAGACAGCAAGGCAGACCTGGGTGGGTAAGTCTGCTGTCTCTCCTCTTTTGTCAGTGACTTTATCTTTATCTTTTTTCATGTGACGTGTGGATGCCGTCCCTGGTCAGGTTTCCACCAGTCAACCTTCTGAAGGAGCACAGATATTATTTGCACATGTAATGATTTGTATAGTTTCTGTGCAGAAAACCTTGCTGACAAACATGTTTTCAATTAATGTCATCGTTTTTTGGATGTTTGGCATTGGTTCCGCTTGCTTTGGGCTACATGTGCAGAAAATGTTTGATGGGTTTGAGACCAGGCAAGAACTGAAGGCATGTTTTCTTCTGGGGCGTCTTAAAAACTCTAAAACACAATAATCTGAAGTGTAGGCCTTCAAATGTCTTAACCATGATTTTGACTATTAATAATTGTAACAGCTACAAAATGAAACCTAAATGGAGCCAAGACTGATTTTTCTTCATATCCTTCGTACTTTTTTTGCCACTGTGGACGTGAAAAATATCTGAAATTGCATTCATAATGATCTTAAAAAGTCTTAAATTTGACATACTGAAGCCTGCAGAAACCCTGAGGACATTTCCAGATGTTTTTTATTCAGTTTAAAGCAAAACAACCCCAGCTAAGAACTTGTTTTTCCCCTCCTCTGTCAGGGTTCGGTAACCGCTGCATTCAGCCCAAAGGCCCCCGGGAACCCCCCCTGCAGTGGACATGATGGAACGATCCATCTGCCCCGTCCACCGACGGTGTTGTAAGGAGATGGACTCTACCGATCTCACCTGGCTGTTCCAAAAACCAAGTTGATAGATGCCACACAGACAGACAGCACAATTTTACATAGAAACACCTTCTGTGTAACTCTGTGCCAAAAAACTTCTCCAGGCTGAGCTCCTCCTCCTCCTCCTCCTCCTCCTCTCCTCCTCCTCTCCCTCCTCCTCAGCCCTTCCTTCAAAGTGCCACTGTGCAAAGCAGACGAACACTTACCGGTCAAGTGGCTTGTCCATTTTAGAACAAAGCCCACATTTTCCTGCTCCGCTTGCTGATGTTAGAGGTTTTGACTTCTCTAGACGCTGACCTGGGATCAGTCCGGTTGTTTTCCTGTTAATGGTTAAAGTATAATTCCTGTATTATTATTTTTTTTTCCCCCTTGTTTTTTGGTGACTTGAGAGTAGATTAAGATTGTTTTTCTCTCCGAGCTGTAGACATATCATTAAAAATGTGTCCATTCTGAGGCTAAATGACGGGGGATGTAGGTGTAAATGTTAAATAAAAAGTGTTAAATTAACAGGAAGAACATTTTCTTTCGTACCAAATGAGAAAAAGTATGTTTTTTCCGTCATAAATCAGGAATTATCTTTAATCAGAAAAGCTACTGTGGGAAGCTGATTCCTGAGGTTTAACTGAACTCCCAGAAGGTGTCTCCTTCCTCCTACTGAACGAACAACAATCTTCAAAGCTAGATAATCTGTTACCCATGATGCAACCTTTTCAGTTGGGTATGTACAGGTTGCCAGGGTGCTCTCTCTCTCTGTTTCTCTGTCTCTCTCTCTTTCTCCCTCTTTCTGTGTGCTGGTGCTACATTACACAGGATCAGCGTAGAAACAAAAGCACTCGAGCTGACTGTTACCAACTTTCTGTCGGATCTATCCCTGGGTTAGCTGCAGTAACGTCAGCTCTGCTACTTTTATATTTCTATGCTAACCTCCCTGTTTACCAGAGTCATAGACTGACATAGTTTGGTCATTGCAGTGGTCAGTGAGAGTCTGTGACTGTTTTAAGATGTTGTTTGACATTTTGGGAAACAAGCTTACTCACTTTCCTGCCCAGAGTTAGATGAGAAGTTTAATACCACGCTCATGTCTGTATGGTGTGTATATATAGAGAGCTGAAGCTGCTTTGCTTAGCTTAGTATAAAGACTGGAGGCAGCTAGCCTGGCTCTATCTGAAGATAGCTACCAGAACTTCTAAAGCTCATTAATTGACATGTTGTATCTCATTTGTTTAATCTGCACAAAATCTGAGAGGTAAAAACAAAATTCTTGGCAGGGTGCAGTGACTTCTTCAAGAAATAGTTTGGCACATAACCCCCAGTAAAGTGTTGTTTTTACGTTTCGGTTTTTGTCCTGGTCAAACGAATAAGATGTAAAGTGTGAAATGTGAAATGTAGGGATGTGGGTAGTTGGACTTTATCACCTTTGAACAGAGCCAGGCTAGGCCAGGCTGTTTCCCCTCTTGTTTCCAGTCTTTCTG